AGCTGCAGGAAGAGCTTTTAACCCCCCCCCCCAAAAACAAAACAAAACAAAAGGGTTTAATTTGTGGCTGATTTTTTTTGTTTGTTTTTGTTTTAGCGTTGTGGTTTGTTGTTCGTTGTTCTTTTTTTCCTGTATTTGTTTATTTGTTTGTTTGGTGTGGTTTTTTGTTTGTTTGTTTTTCCCCAATGAGTCTGTTTAAGTACTGTTTATCTTTTGGTAGACAAGACCTAACAGGTACCGCTTTGTGACCTGCGCAGATTTATTGTGGATGTGAGAGTTCTGTGTAACTCTGGTTAGTCTGTTTATATTTGGCAATAGTTTAAAGAGTAATCTGCAGTTTAAAGGCTAGTCTATATGTGTCTGAGATAGAATAACCTTATAAACAGTCCATTAGTTTGTGGCTAAGTTAGAGAAAATTCCATTTACAATTTTCTGTTTAGAAGTTTTACAGAAGATTAGCTTCACTGTAGCTGAAGGCAATAGCTGCAATAAGAAAGTGGTGATGTTTGCTTTACCTTCCACTGAATAAAGTAGTTGATGACTTGTAATACTTTGGTTCACTGTCTGTTATGTCTCGTCTGATTTGAGTACCTTGCAGGTTCTTATTCCTGCCCTTCAGAGTCATCAGAATGAAAGACTGTGTATGGTGGCTTGCATGCGTAGCCCCCGTTTTTGAAGGAGAGCATCAGCATCTCTCAGCTTGAGAGACTCATCTTCCTGACTTCAGTCTCTTGTGGTAACTTTGCTCAAATCAGTTGCATTTCTAGGGCTCCAGCAATGATCCAGAGTATCCACAGGTCCTTTTCTCATGAGACTGTCCTGCATGAGAGCCAGTGGAAGAAATTCTACAGGCTGCTCTTTTTGTGGCTGGAAGCCACGGCAGAAACTCTTGGTGATGAGACAGTCTGGACTCCTGGCTATGGTGACCTGTAGTATCATCTTGCCAGCCTTCTGTCTCTTTTTCAAGAGCTGGTGCAATGGCCTCAATTTTTAGTTTTTAGTGACAACTAAATTGCAGTTATTATAACTGGAGTCCTGGTGAGTTGCATTCTCGAGATTTGTGGTTGAAGTCCGTGTAGGATTAATTATAGGAGACACAATTATCTAAGGATTTCTGTTTTGCTTATCAATATTGGCGAACCGTTACTTCAGCAATTCTTTCTAGTGACCAGCCAGAAACTTACAGTTGTCTGTATTCTACATTGGGTATGTTTTGTTTGTTTACTTTTCTAAGGATTCTGAACAGCTGACTTTTCAACTATTATTTTTGGTAAAGTTTTAGGGTTTTATTTAAGTTCTTGTGGCTTCAACAGTGTCTAAAATAGGTCTTGCAGTTTGCAGGCTTTAAGTGTGAGTTTGCTTGTCACCTCATTCTTCCTGCCTTTTTCCTCTTTTGTCAATTCCTTTAAGTTTGAATGTGTATCAGAAATATGACCTTTACTTAAGAGCTTTAGTTAAGGAGCTTTAATTAAGTTGGCTTTGGCAGATGAGCTCCCGTTCATCTTCATCTGCTTCTTTTTGTGTCAGGTGTTTTCAACTGTTACAAAGATACTCACGTGTCGTCTGACAGTATTTTTCATCTTACAGTACTGAGCCGTCATCTTTTGAAGGACAGTGGAAGGACAAGGCTGACAGCTGAAGTCTTTGTGTAAACTTGGGGATTGCCTTGTATCTCTACCACCCTCTCTCTATTCTAAATCCAAAGGGAGATAGACTGGGAGGTTGTTGCTTCTTGGAGACATCTGCTGTTATAACTGGAAGTGCTGAATTTTTCTGATTAATTGCAAGGGCAGTCTGGCTCTTGGGAAGTATGAAGAGGACAGTGCAGATGAGAAAGCTTGTTTGAAGCAGTTTCCCAGCCTGGTCCAGCTCGGATGGAGACAGACTTAGTGCTGCTATACTGCTGAAGTTCATGATGGGAGAGTGTGAGAAATAAAATTTATTTTTTAATGTATCTGGGAGCAGGAATACCTGGACATGCTGGTGGAAAGGAAGTAGGCTCCAGTGGTGAGTGCCTTGGGGAAGCTGGAGCAAGTTTGGTGACCAACAACAGCAGTGCTAACAACATTTCTTGCAATGGGCTGAGTTGTCTGTGGCTTTGGGCTAGCAGCAGTGGCAGCTCTGGTAATGGCAGGCTGTCACCTTAGCACAGCCTGGTGATTTGCGCGGCAGCTTGCGATGGCCCATTGGGTACTGTGCAGAGCTGGGGAAACTGGGGCAGGCCTTCATCCTGACTGCCTGTGTCTGCTACCAGAAGAGGGTGACTGACAGCAGTTGTGCCATCAGGAAAGAGGTGTGATGGATTATCAATATTCAAACTCCCATATGTTGTGCATGCAAGCAGTGACTAAATCCAGGCCTAGTTCTGTCCTTCCTGTTCCCTCTGATAATCCCAAAGGTTACTTTGAGGCTGATGTCAATGCTGTGAGTACATGTCATTAGCTCCCCAGTTGTGATATTTGTGCTCTGGGCAGTAGTTCATATTTCCTACTGTCTAGATGATTGGCTGATGAAGGACAAAACAGTGGAAGTGGTCCAAGGATTAATGCAGAACCATCAGGCACTGTTTGCCTTTATTTAATTGATACTGCAAGGAGACTGGCCGGCTGTGCCACTGAATGATTCAGAGCAGCTGAAATTGTGGGAGCTGCTTTTCCAGTTCAAGGCTAGGTTGTTGAACATGGCTCTGTGCTTTCCTCTGTAAATGCCTGATTGATCCCTCTATACTTATTGACAACAAACCCTGTTTTTCTCCTATGAAAGAATAATTTTACTTTTGTTGTATTTTGATGGGTAAATAGAAGATGCATAATTTCTTTTGCATGCTGAGGCTTGAGTTTCCAGCCAATGTTCATTAAGCATTCATTTAACTTCCTCTAATGTTTGTCGTTTTAGTTGAACTTTTAATCCAAAATTTGTGCTGGGGTGGAAACCATTGCCAAACCTGAAGATCAAGTTAAAAAAAACAACAAACAACCAAACAATATCATCCCTTCCTCCTCCCCCAATTCTTGGTGTTTGTTTGGTGGTGGTTGTTGTTGTTTGGGTTTTTTTTTAGTTAGCTGTAACTTGTAGCATGCATGAAACCTGCACATGAGAATACTCTGCCTTACTCTGCCTCATATGATGCCAGTATGCTGAGACTGGGTAAATATCCCTTTCTCTTATCCTAATCAGTTCAAAATGGACCTTAAAGTTTATTCAAAATAGTGGTTGGGCAAAAGTATTTCTTGTTCCTTTTGTGAAGAAAATAGGCTGTAAAAGAATTTTTAAAGACTATTATATCTTAAACCAGCTTAGCATGTTAATCCTATTTCTCGTCTGGTTTTGACAGTACTTACAGCAGCAAGGTGTTCCGCGTCACCTTCTTGACTTTGGCTGCGTCTCTGACTGTGCCCCTGCTTGGAGTAACTGTACTGCTGGATTGTCCTATAGATCCTCAGCCTATAAGGTAAATTGTTGCTTTGTTTTGGAATAAATGTTATTGAAGCGTAACTTCTCAGATGTGTTCTGTTGGTTTAGTGGTTTGTTTCTTTTTTTAGCAAACAAGAGTCAACCGTGTAAAGTGGTTCTAACTGGGTTAAGAAATGGGGAGTGATTGCGCTATTATCCTTTGCTGTGGCTTGCTTCACGTACTCAGTCTGTTTCTGAGCCATCTTGTGCAGCTGTGTGTCACTACTGATCACTGAAGGAGCTGAATTATGTCCTCTGATCATTAATCTGGAAAATTATTTTTGGCTGTCCAAGCTGTCAGTGGAGCTTGTGATTACTTACGTGCACTCTTGCTTTCTGTGAGGCAAGAACTGCGTTTTCACTAAGGACCAAGCTCAACCTCTGCTATTATAGTTCTGTCAAAGAGAGACTGTTTATCTGAGGATGGAGATTGAAATGGATAACCTGACTAGGTTGATTTGGTGCTTTGTACCAGTGGAACTATAAGGTGATGTTATATTTAAATTCAGATCTCATAAAGCAGTGCAGCTAGGTGATTTCTGCTCTGTCTGAATTCATAAATACCTGAATCAAGGTCTGTATCGTGTATAGTGTAACAGTGAATCAGCTCCGCGAGAAGATGTGACCTTCGTTGGGAGAAGTTGTGTGTGAAATGCTTTGAGTGCTGGCATAGGGTGAAGTCAGGCTGTTTAGTGCTCCTGGCATTCTGAAGTAAGTGAAAATGCTTAGCTTGCTAAATGTTTATGATCAACTTGATCATTCCTTAATGGAAAGGAACAACAACACCACTGTAAATATCTCTACATTGAAAGAAACGGTTAATGTAGTAGGGTAGTACTTTGAGAAGTCTTGCCAACGAGCTATTAGATATAAGCTGCCTCATTGCAAATCATAATGAAATGTTTTCTGCTGTGGTTGGTTTAACAAAACCCAGTTCCCTGAAATGCATTGGAACTGAACAGTAATTCTGAAAGCCAAGAGGATATGTCTATCATAGAATGGTTAGGGTTGGAAGGGACCTCAAAGATCATCTAGTTCCAACCCCCCTGCCGTGGGCAGGGACACCCTTCACTACACCAGGTTGCTCAAAGCCTCATCCAGCCTGGCCTTGAACACTTCCAGGGATGGAGCAGCCACAACTTCTCTGGGCAACCTGTTCCAGAGCTTCATCACCCTCAGAGTGAAGAATTTCTTCCTTATATCTAATCTAAACCTGCCCTCTTTCAGTTTAAATCCATTGCCCCTTGTCCTATCACTACGTGCCCTTGTAAACAGTCCCTCTCCAGCTTTCCTGTAGGCCCCCTTTAAGTACTGGAAGGCTGCAATTGGTCTATAATGCTTTTCCTGTTACATATATTGTCTAATTCTGGTCCACGGTAACAGTGTTCTGCATGCTTACATTTCTTACTTTAAGTCTCTTTCACAAGATCGGGAGAACTGTTCTTCCTGCTCAAATCACTGGCTGATATTGCTCTACATTCGTAATTAGCTTCTGAGCTTCACTGACAGAGGTGGTTTCAGTCTATACAATAGATAGGATGATTCTATGTGATGTTTATGGAATGTTTTGAGAAAACTTAAGGAGGTAGGTGCTGTCTGAATCCATTCCTTCAGTGAAAGAACATGTAGAAATCTTGTTTGCCAATAATGATGTTATTCCTGTAAGCCACTGGAAATAATGAGGAATAAGAGGGGCAGAAAAAAGCAGATACAATCTATGAAACTCCATGTGAGATTCCTGCAGTTCTGGGTTATTTCAAGTTCTTTCTCTGAGAGCATGCCTTGGATCATACTGATCCTAGGGAGGATTTTCTGCTTGCAAACACAACTGTCCGAAGTTCCCAGCAAACGAATTCCTTATCTGAAGCCTGCTATACTCATCTGAAACTCTCTAATGCTTGGAAGAAGGGATGGAAAATGGATTTGTGTTAGCATTGTGAAGACAACTCTGCTGTAAATCTTCTGTGGACAGGAGGTAGTAATTCAGTTGGCTTTGCTACTGCAATAATACATACTGAAAAGAAAGGTTGCTGTCTGTAACCAGACAGATAGAAGTATGTAATTTTCTCTCCTTTTGAATTATTTGTGTTGTGAAACTGTTCTCCTCAGTTGTCATGGTTTTTATAGTTTACAATTTCAATTGACTTTTTTCCCCAGCCACTGAAGCTCTAGAGATTGTGATGATTTTCACTATATGAGCAGTAGAGTTGAAATGGGGTTGGTGATGAATGGGTCCTGGACCCTGGGCACGTTTCAAAGTCAAACATTGTCTTTTTAAGATTCTACAAATGGAAGGCATTTGCTTATGGTTATATAAGGAGCTATTGGAGAAAAAAAATAGATTGAAAAATTGTTTCAAAACTTGGCGAGGAGAGCTTTAGCATACTCTTGTGAATGAACACCTGGTGAGTTTACCACCTTCCAGTTGGCTTGAACCTGGCTATTTATGTGAATAAGGGCTTGCAAGATTGGACTGTACTTTGTCATTTTGAGGTTTCGGTTCAATGCTCGTTAAGTTTATGTGCATCTTAATCCTTTGAATTGGTCTTTCTCCATGGGAATGCATTCAAGTCATGAACAAGAATACGTTTCCATATGGTACGAAAGCATGTGTGTCCTAGTGTTTAAACTACTGGAACGCTTTTTTCACTAGTTGTATGCTAATTAGTAATTAAAAATTATTTTTTCTCCATGATGAAAATGCTACATGGTGTCAGATCTCAGTGTACTGTAAGATGCCAGGCTTTTAAATTTTAAAACCTTTTTGTTTAGAAATTTGGGTATATCTGCTTAGGAAGAGAATTCTGGTATAAACAAGTCATTCAATTGAGTAAGAAAGCAGTTATTCTTTTGTGTTGTGGCAATGCTAAAATCTTTTGCCTTTGTGCAAGATAGGTGAGCTGGCAATGTGTTGTTGGACTTGAAGCTGTATAGACTTCCAGATATGTCTTAGGAACACAACTGCAATTTCTCCGATCAGCAGAACCTGAAAATTATGATTCTTGATGAACAAGAGTCAATATTTCAGCTTCTCAGTTGTGCTTTCTTTTTTGAAACACGCTATTTGTAAAGCATAGGTCAGGTATGCAGGAGTTGGCAAACTAGGAAAAAAACGATCCAACATGTTGCTCAAGAGTGTTTGCAGACTTGCGCAAAGGATCATGAGATCTCTGTTCTGTTTTCCAGTTTGAAGGAACCTCCCCTCTTGACAAGTGTCCTAGAGCCCAATATCAAGTTACGAAAAGCTGAGCGATTATGGGAAAATCAGCTGGTTGGACCAGAGTCTATTGTCAATATTGGGGGTAAGCACTGACAAAATGAACTTTTATAGAAGATTCTTTAAATGTTACTCCATTGATAAGGGTTTGTTCAGCAATATAGCTCTTGGATAACAAACTCTGGAAGCTATTTTGAATATGCCAGTTTAAAAAAAAAAAAAAAACACAAAACCCAGAACAAAACTGTATTATGCAGCAAACCCTGGCTGCTATACACTGTTCTCTTCTTTCCCCAGTACAAAATAACCCCAACTGGCAGCTAAGCACCAGACAGCGGATCACTCACTTCCCCCTGGTGGCATGGGAGAGGGAATCGGAGGGGTAAAATTGAGAAAACCTGTTCATTGAGATAAAGACAGTTTAATAGGTATAGCAAAAGCTGCACACACAAACAAAGCAGAACAAGGAATCCATTCACTACTTCCCATCGACAGGCAGGTGTTCAGCCATCTCCAGGAACGCAGGGCATCACACGTAACTGTTACTTGGGAAGACAAACACCATCACTCCGAATGTCCTCCCCTTGCTGCTTCAACCCCCAGCTTTATATGCTGAGCGTGACGTCATATGGCATGGCATATCCCTTTGGTCAGTTGGACCCAGCCGTGCCCCCTACCAGCTTCCTGTGCACCCCCAGCCTACTCGCTGTTGGGGTGAGAAGCAGAAAAGGCCTTGACTCTGTGTAAGCACTGCTCAGCAGCAACTAAAACATCCCTGTATTATCAACACTGTTTCCACCACAAATCCAAAACAGACCCATACTAGCTGCTATGAAGAAAAGTAAGGTTCTCCCAGCCAAAACCAGCACACAGATTAAAAATCCCTGTCTTCCAGGACTGAAAGCATCAGCAGTGGAGTCAGGGGCTACTTATGTTTGGAGGAAGTGGCCTTGTTTTTCATTTGGCTAGCTCTTAACTGGGAATTAATATTTACAGACTACTACCTACTTCTCTAATGCTTATCATCCCTGAGGGAGCTGAGTTTTGTGATGTTAATTTTTGCTTATAAGACAGGAAAAAAAATCTCTAATTGATAAAAAAGCATATGTTGCATGCACTACAGGTGCCATCCTATACTTCTCTCTTTTAGAATGGGTGTTCTCACCAAATCACAAACCAATGCTGCCTCTGAGCAGTTTCTTAATGAGTTGGCTAGACTTGTAATGGCATGATGCCCACTTGTAGGAAACCAGCTTTGTGCAGGGATTGTTCTCTGTGCCTTCTGGGGGGTGTAAAGCTAGAAACTACGCTTGACATAAGTCCTTGACTATTTTAACATGAAAGGAAAGGGTGTGGGAATTGCAAGCAATTACTTACTGAAACATCCTTCAGTACAAGAGGTGCTCAGTTGCCATATTGTTTATTTTTCTTCTGCTATATCTTCTCATAAATTGCTAAAATATTTCTAAAAAATTATTTTACCCAGCAAGAAACTACTGTAAATTCCTTCCTCGGGTTACACTTTTTCTGTAAAAATATCTCTGTTAAAATGTGCTGATTCTTCTGAATCTTCTTCTGAAGCCACTGATTCTTCTCTGTTACCTAGTTTTGTTGGTCTCATTGGAAACTCTTTAAAGAAACCTTACTGCAGGGGACAACTGACCTATAGGTGAAATAATCAACCTGACTGGGAATAAGTTTTGTATGAATAAATGTTGAAGTTGTCTTATTCCCTTGTAAAAGTGTAATTAGCAAACTTAAAACTTCAGTTAAATTGGAGATGGAAAAGTCCAAACAATGGACTCTGCTAATCCAATGGTCTTTCATTTAATTTGGTTATATGGGAAAATTTGTGTGGTGTTTGTATTCAGTGTTTGTGTTTTATACTATCACAAGGCTCGGCATGAATACAGTAATTTGGCAATGCTTTTGGTTTGGGTAGTTGTTCAATTGCTATGGTTTTTGCAATTCTTCTCCAGAACTGATACCATATGGGCATTGGCAGGTGTCCAGCAGCCTATGTGGACTGTATGAGAATGAGATGTTTTATCTAGTCAGTCTCTCTTTGAAGAGTAGCAAGATGAATGCAGTGCTTGACCACATATTATGATGACATAGACATTTACCCAGGGGGATCAATCTGATGACTAGCCATTACACTGGTACATTACAAAGGTACATTACATTGTACCTTTAACCAAAGATTTGGACCGTTTATTGGTGAAAAGCTTCATATCCTTTCCTCATAACTCCTAAGACTTAAATCTTTCCTTTCTTTTTGAATTGGAAGAAATCTATCCAAATGATCTTATTTGCCTTCATCTTTCCCCGTTCCTTTCCTGTGACTGAAGACAACTCTGTTACTTTACTGTGTCTTAAACATTGCTTCTACTTCATGCTAGTAGAAGGATCATGTACAAAGATGTTTGCCGCTACAGTTTTGTGATCAAACTAATCACACCAGTTGTTTTTGCAGATGTGCTATTTACTGGGACAGCTGATGGGAAGATTATCAAAATTGAAGATGGAGAAATACATACAATCGCCAGAATTGGCCATGGTCCTTGTGGTGAGTGACAGCACCTGAACATAGTGTGTCCAAAAACATCTGGGTCGAGGCTTGTGTTGGTTAATGTCCTGTCTGGATTGCTCATGCAAGTGCCTATCTTCCTCTGTAGAGATTTGTAACAGAAATATTAGTATTTGTATGAATGAAGTATGAGTGGAAATATATGTATAAGCAGTGGAAGGAACAGCAGAACTAAGGGCCAAAAGAATGGGAATGAGTGCTCTTGATAACAAATGACACTGTTCCCAGCAGTACAATTTAGGAATGGGTGTTTTTTATGTCATGACTACCAAGGCCTGTGCTCCTGTAAGACTGCAGCGTGGATGACTTGTCCGTAGAAGATCCCGTAACTTAACACCAGGAGGAAGATGAGGTTGAAGTACATCATAAATAACATTCCTTTTCCTGTTAGTCCATCTAGAAAAAGCACGTATCCTAAACAAGAAAAAAACGGGCAGCAACCTGGCCTAATATTTATGGAAGCTGAAGTCAGCAAGATTCTGAGGTGAAGGGCCACCCCATAAAAACTGAGGACTCCTAAACAAGTGTGAGTGAATGAACTCTGAGATAATGTGTGAGTGGGAAAGGTTAACTTATTTAGAGATTTTTGAAAATAAATATCACGCTCCCCATCTACAGAATTTTGCCTGCATTTTGTTGTACTAATTTCCCTTCCTCTGTTTGTAAGTTCAGTGGGGGGTTGTGTTGGCTGCACCTGCCTTAGTGGAGATCTTCCATTGGTCATGATATTTCCATTTTCTCACCACTAAATTGCAGTTGGTTCCTGTTGAATTCCCCACCTCTTTCTGAACCACTTATTTACTTCATTTAAAGAGAGTTCTGGAACTAAGTGAGGAAAAACTGGCGGTGGCTTGTTTATTAACAGAACCATTTCTATGGAGAGGCTTAATGTTGGCCATCGCAGTACTGCCTGGGCCGTCTGAGAAGCCTGGCTGGTGTGTGTTGGGATTGTGGGTGGTTTTGTTTATGGTAATGATGTAGAAGCTTACATGGGGTTCTGCAGCCCTGAGCTGATTGCCAGTGAGACAGAAATTATGGGCAGTAACTGTTGCTGGCTTTGTGTAGCTCACATTGACGCGTTCAGCATTTTAGCCGTGCAATTTTACATGAATGTTCACATGATTAGGCTCTGGACTGATTTGGAAGACTCTCGTGGCTGCCTAACAGGTAGGGCAGCCTTGGTGCTGACAGCTAGGAAGCAATATAATAGGAATATTCCTATTGCTGATAGGAAGCTGGACTTCCAGCTGCTGCTTAAGTGTAAATGTGGGTTGGGGTGGATATGAAGAATAACCTTTCTACTGCTCATTTTCATTGGACTTGTACAGCTTGGGATAGATGGGACGATTATGTGCTCCTATTTCTTTGAGGTCAAAGAGGTAGTGGGGAGCCTAGGCTTACTTCTTGCTCCCTCAAGTTGGGGAGGGAAGTGGAAAGGCTGTAGCTGAATATCTTCTCCAGAAGTTTCTCTTGCTAATCTTTCAAACTACAGATGTTCTGAGGTTCTTCAGGACTCAGTAGACAAATATTTCAGGTTTACAGTATTCCCCTTCCTCCTCATATAGAAGTCTTCAGTCTTGAGAAACCAGCTATTTCACGACAATGTTAGACCTTTCCAGAAAAACAAAGTTCCAAGGTGTGCATGCTGTTTGGTGGTGGTTTTTTTTTATTTAAAAAAGAAAAGAAAAACCTGCAGTAAAACTGATTCTGAGAAAAAGCATGCAGTTAAATCCAATTTTCTGACATTCAGCCCTACTCGGGACACCTGTTAGCTAGCTACCAGCCTGGCAAGTTATAAGATTATCTCTAGACTGGTGAAAACATGGGGATATCTGTTTCACACCTAAGGAAAGTAAGAATAATTTCTTTAATGAATGTGTGTGGTGCTGGCCACAGAGTTCTGTTAGGCTACAGTTTTACCTATGTAGGCAGCCTGAATGCGTTGTATTTGTTTCTATTTGGATAACCATTTTAATTTTTTTTTTCCTAAGGAACCCGTGAAGATGAGCCAACATGTGGAAGACCACTTGGCATCAGAGTGGGGCCAAATAACACTCTTTTTGTGGCAGATGCTTATTATGGGCTCTATGAAGTTAATCCTGGTACAGGTATGACTTTTCTGCTGCGAAGTTCTCTTCCACTGACAGATCTGGGCTTGATGTGCAGTTTTGCCAGACACTGCATGCAAAACAATGCCTGCCTTCTCTGCAAAGTGATTTGGAGCTGTCTGGATGAAATATGCTAGGCGAGAACTTGGTATTTGTTTTCTCGTAGCAATTGCTCTCTCTCTATTTCTGTCTATCTGGATCAGAGTTAGCAGTGTTTTATCTTCTGGTTGTCAAGGTTGGTACGTCAGGGTTCATGAATAAAGCTTTGTGTAGCCGTGTCAGTTTTCATAAATGGGAAACAAAAATATTGCTGTTACATGAACTTTTTGTTGTGTTTGCTGTACTCTTGTTTCTGTCTTGATCTCACTGTGTGGTAGCAAAGAGCTCTTAACTTCCCTGTAATCTCACTGTATAGAAAGTGAAGAAAGATGTATTTTGGTACAGCTGAAGATTAAGTGTCTTGTTCCTGCTGAGAAAGGCACTGTTGCATTATGTCCTTTGTTTTATGTCCCTGGGCCAGATCTCGATTTTTAGGAGCTGTGCTCTCAGAAAGCAATAGTTGCTTTCATGTAGCATTGATTTTCTGTCAGTTTACATCTCCAAATTGGCTTGAGGTGGGGAGAGGAAGGCAGGCAAATGCTAGGTGAGATATAACCGAAGGGCTCAGACTGTGTGGCTCTGGGAGGAGGTATGATCAAGGTCTCCCCTTTTGATGGCAGACAGCTGCCATATTAGCTCAGTTGTGACAAAAACAATCAAATAAACCTATGCCCAAAGATGACTTCAATAAATTTTGGTTAATTTTTAGAGATTTGACCTTAATTTACCTGGTAATATTTGGCAGAGCAGTTCAGTGAACCTGCTGATGTTTTAGCTTGTAGAAAGTACTAGTCTTTGTTCCTGCAGATTTATGGGGAAAGAGGGAGTAGCGATTGGCTTGCTGCATCCTTCTACAAGGTTGGGAACTGAGTTTGCACTTGGTTTAATATGAGCTTCAGAAATGTGAAGAGTCTGGTGCTTATCAGTAGGGAGCATCATGTACTGTTTTGTTTTTTCTGAAGAGTATTTTCTCCTGGTTATTCACACTTGGTGTTGAGTTGTTCCATTACAACCCAAAACCTTATAACTTAAAGACACAAATGGAAAAAGTGTGAAGTGCCTGCTAATTTCATGTATTTAACACATTTCCAAGGCAAGATATACAAAAACTTGTCTTGTATGTCTTTTTTTTCCTTCTTGTTTTTGTAACCAGGTGAAACAAAAATGCTTGTGTCATCCAAGACAACAATTGAAGGTCAGAAGTTGTCATTTGTGAATGATCTTACAGTGACCCAGGATGGGAGAAAAATCTACTTCACTGACTCCAGTAGCAAATGGCAAAGACGGGACTACTTATTCTTGATTATGGAAGGCACAGATGATGGGCGGCAAGTATCTTTTCCCCAAGGCATTTAACTTACTGTAAGCTCAGCTGTAGGAACGGACTTGGTCTTCAAGATTTTTCTCTTTATAAATTACCAGTGCAAACACTGCACTGGCCAGGAAAGGGTGAGAGGATATGTGGATGTTGCTGATGAGACCTGCAGTGAAACAAATGAGAATCCTTTTTTTTCCCTTCAAGAGGACTTGCATGGAACATCTATTTTAAAAGGGAAGGTGTTAGCTTTACATTCATTCAGCCTAAACGCTTCATGAATGCCGTCAGTCTCAAGTGGCTTGGTATTTCTGCTGTGTTCATAAACAAATGCTTCCTGGCTGTTCTTCCTTTTTAACTTAGATGAAGTACATGTGAGAGAAGGTAGAATACCTGGAGAATGAAACCAAGGTGAATAAGTATTTGTCTTCACTCAAAACCATATATAACGCTTTCTTTTTAGCCTGCTTGAGTATGACACAATAACGAAAGAAGTGAAAGTCTTAATGGTGGGGCTCAGGTTTCCTAATGGTGTCCAGCTCTCTCCTGCGGAAGACTTTGTCCTGGTGCAGGAGACAACCATGGCTAGAATCAGGAGGTGAGTGACTTTGCTGAAAGTATTGCTACTCTGTGGAGATTGTTTAAATAAATGAGTTGAATGACAAAAGAAACCCTACGCTCTGTTCATGCCTAGTTACCAATGGCAAAGAAGGTGGCCTTCCTCAATACTTAATTTTTTCTTTCACTGTAAACATCTGGACTGCATAATCCTTCCATCATGGGCTCCTTGAGCATAGTGGAGTAAGCTGACTTTTTCTGGGGAATGCAGCTCTGCTGTATTTCGCTGCACCAAAATAAGGGAAAAAAGACTTTTAAATTTTTAAATTAATTCCTTTTGGGACTTTTATTTCTTACTGCTTGCGTTAAGATGTCCTAACCCTAGTATCTCTAACTTTCAGGTATTATGTGTCTGGGCTGATGAAAGGTGGAGCAGATATGTTTGTTGAGAATATGCCTGGTCTTCCAGATAATATCAGGTTAAGCAGCTCTGGAGGATATTGGGTAGCTATGTCAGCTGTGCGACCCAATCCTGGATTTTCTTTGTTGGATTTCTTGTCTGAAAAACCATGGATTAAAAGGATGATATTTAAGGTAAAATAAAATCAAAGAATTTTTAAAAATTCTTTTTTAGTATAGGAATGGAAGTGATAAATATTTGTTTGTGCTGTTTCTTTCTCTTCACAGGAAGATTTCTAAAATTTTTTAGTGCTGTGGTTAAAACTTGTCCCCAAGTAGAATAGTCCTTATATATTCATCAGTAGCAAAACTAATATTTGCTTCTCTGAGTAGCAGGGACACATCTCTTAAGTAGCCTTCCATCTTCATCTCGGGAAAGGAGGAGTGTCTCTCTCTGCCCTAGCCATGCAGCAACACAGGATCTACTTTTGGATATGTGAAGAATTCACCTTTGTACCTGAAAAGCCTAAACTACTTATTGCCAGGTGTCTGGAGAGCATTTGGGAAGTCTGACCTGTTCTAATGACTCCCCTAGGCATCCTAGGAGACAGTGTGTATGTTATATATGCTGCTAGGTGACACTCTGTTATGACTCAATATGCCTGTTATGTCACATCCCCCTTTAGGATGAGGATGAGCAAGAATAATGTATTTTGTGAGGGATATCTGATGCTAGAGAAACTGCATGATGCTTTTTAAACAATACAAAGACTTGAAAATACTTCTGTTCTTTAAAAAAAACCAAACTAAACCAAAAAAACCCAATAAGCAGTGTTTAGGATGGAAGTGCTATTTCAGCTAAACAAACTCTGTGCTGTCCCTGTAAAACCTGTTGTCTCTCCTGGTGCAGTGCAGGAGCCTTGACAAACTGATGCTATGGAGAGCAGAGCATGATGTCTGCTGCTTGACATCAACTGCACCAGAACAAGCTGATGTCTCCTGCGTGGACATCCTTTCAGCCTAATGCTGGAGTAGAATGTGTTTCTGCTGGTCCTTTGGGGTTTTTTGTTTATTTTTTAGTTTGCTCTTCAGATGTTAATGTGTCAAGCCTACGTAATAGTGTTTACCCACAATGTATGCTTATGTTCTTAGCTGCTTCTTCCAAGAACTGTGGAATGGTCTTTGACTGTATAAGTGCCTGAGATCTAATTGTGGAGAGCAAAATCTTTTGTTGTTAATTTTCTTTTTTTTTTCGTTTTCTTTTAGTTGCTGAGTCAGGAAATGGTGACAAAGTTTGTGCCCAAATACAGCCTTGTTGTTGAACTTAGTGAGACAGGATCCTACAGGAGAAGCTTTCATGATCCCAACGGAGTGACGGTAGCTTATGTTAGCGAGGCACATGAGCACAATGGATATCTTTACCTGGGCTCCTTCCGGTCTCCGTTTATTTGCAGACTTAATCTCCAGCATGTTTAACAGCCTATCCATGACAAAGTGCCACTGTCTATAATACTCCAGAGGTACAAAGAAAGCATGTGCTTGTGGCAGTGTGTGACCAAGGACAAAAAGTGAAAGAACAGTCTGTTAACATGCAGTAGTACTGTGCTGTTAATGTAGGAAAACATACAGCTTGATGTACCTGTCCTCTTCCTTGATTTGACTGCCCTTGCTTTGGAGTTGGCATGCATAACTATCATCATCTGAGGAGTATGGTGGGACATCTTCATACAGTTACATGCTCCTTAAAGAAAATCCATTGTTTTTCCACACCCAGCCCTGTTTGGAGTCATCTTAAACAGACATCATCTGTCACCTGTAATGTACATCATCTTACACTGGAAGGATTTGTGATGTATGGAATCTAATTGTGTATGATTTGGATCGAAGAGAATGTCTTGCATGTGTATGTCTGTTTTAGAACCTCTTGTTCAGGAGTGATTACAGTGTATGTTCCAACGTCATACCATGGTGCTGTGGTAGAGGCAGCAATATCCAGAACATGCCTAGAAATCTATTGATATCATTTGAGTTTCTTCAATTTCAGCAAGTGTAATCAACATCGGAAACTACAATTAACTGTTAATCAACATGCAGAATCAAATTTGATCACTATCTCTGGACTCCTGTGTGGTGTGTTTTTTTTATAGCATTGTAATCAGATGATGAATCAAAGTTGCATTTTCTGTTACTAAAGACTAGTTCCAGTGCATTTAAAAAGGGTCACTGTACTGTTTCCCCTGTGTTTACCAGGTGCTGTAACTCTCCTGTGCATTACGTAGGTGGCCATTCCTGAGAGACATGGGAGGGAAGAGGGCCAGCTGCAGGAATCTTCTTCAGCATGCTTTTTATGGAGAACTGGTAAAGGTTTCAGAGAAGGCTGATGTCTGAAGATGAATGTGGACTGAAAGGTCCCCTGTAAAATCTACCAATAGTGGATGAGAAAGGCTTTGGTGGAAAAACTTGGATTGTGGTAGTAGCTCATGGATGCTTTCTGACATCTCCAGAGGAAAGTGTTTACTTCCTCTGTTACCAGATACCCTGCTTGGTAAATGCAGAGAATGCTTTTCTGTCAAGTACTATGAAGGAAAGGCTGTTCTGTTACATTTTAAATAAGAAGTTTTGTGTCTTGAAGAACTAAAGGGGTTACTTCACCAGCTGTGTGATTTAGTGGATTGATTCCTGTTCTGGGATTGAATATTTTGCTGCTCTCTCTTTTTCTGCCACTGGGTGATGGTCACACATAAACTTAACGCTATTGCTCCATTTCCTCACATTTGAAAAGGAGAAAATCAAGATTTGCTTGGTATATATAAGGACAAGCACCAGAGAAGGGGAAGATGATGTTAAAAATGTTATCTGCTTTCACTGGCCTTCTGCGCTTGTCTTTATTAATGGAGAGATATGCAAATGAAAGTGATTATTTCCTATCAGTGCTTCTGTCACCTTGTTCTGTGTTAGGACCAGACTGCAGCAGTCCTGTGGCAAGTAGCTTGGTGGTTGCTGGATCAGGCTGACTTTTTTCTGTACAGGCCGGGGGCTGCAAGCCCTTCTGCTTGACCTGGTGGTTTCTGCATTTGGGAGGGAGCTCAGTAAGAGGCAAAAGAAGCCTGGTAGATGAGGTGCTGCAGGCTCTGACCTTTGGTCCAGCTGAGCCCTATCTTGATAGTTTGTGAACAGAGAATGGAGTGATACTGTGATAAATCTAAAAGGCTGGCGAGGTATGACCTGCTGGGGAGAGTGCGGGGCAGACTTGTTGCTGTGGGAACTCTGAAGAAGGGCTGAGAACAGGACATACTTGCAAAATCTCTTTCTGGGGAAACCAGGCATAGGGCAGGCTGTTTAAACAGGAGCTGGTAAGCATTGCTCTGCCAGCCCTTGCAGCCATTTGTCCCATTCTGGTGGGATGTGAAAGTTGAGCTTGATGGGATCTTAAATTGGGGTTGCAAAAGCAGGTCTGTCCTGGGGCTTGTTTCATGCTGGTGCTTTGGTAGCCTTGAGGCAAGAACAGCTTTGCCTGTTGTTGCAGCTAACCTTTAGTGATTCATTTGCTAGAATATCTAACTGGATAACTTGTACTGTCTTTTGTAGTGAAGTAGACCGCTGTTTTGGCGTGCCAAATTTGATGACTTGTGTGACTAATTCCCTTTTAAGACACTGTCCCTGAAGTTATGAAGTGGGAAAGAAAGTAAGTTGTAGTGCTCCTAATTCTCAAGAGGGATAAGACTTATGAAGAGTTGTCTCTTGGTATGTGGTGGTGTGGGTTTTTTTTTTATTCTTCCACCCCTTCACTCCTTCCTGGCCACTATTGGAGACTAATTTAGTACACTGGTGATCCTGTGGTTTCATCAGAAAGTTCTGGATTCTTTTATAGTTCTCTTTGAGCTCTGCTGCACATACAGCAGACTCGGAGGTCATATGAATAATTTGCTTTTCTTGCAGAAGGGGAACAGAATGCCAAAATATGAGAGGTATCTGACAGAGTGTGGCTTTGTCTGGTGTGACTTTTGATCGGTCTAGCCAAACTGCCAAACAGTGGCTAGGCAGAAGTATCTTGGGGGCAGGTGCAAGAAGACTAGAAATGGTTAATCATGGCAGAACTGAAGCCCAGAGCAGCTTCCTCGAAGCTGAAGATAGCTAATGCCTTTGTTTACTGGGGCTGTTGCTTTCTGAGCTCTTCTCTTAATCCTGTGGTAGCAGGAAGGGTTGTTCTGCCAAATGCCGCAGTCAGGAAAGGAGGCTAGACCTCATGAAGGTATTGGAGCTAACTGCACAAGAGTCTTCCTATGGGAGCAATTTGCTTATAAAATCCAGCAAGTCAGTGGTGAAGCTTAGTGCTGTGGCATGAGGGAAGCTGAGCTGATGCCTTTGGCACTTGGCTTCTGTGTTGACCCTGGCATCTCACAAGAGGTCAGTCACTATTTCTCCTTTCTGGCTGGTGCTGTGGGTTCTGTACTGTCCAGACCTCTCCAGCTGTGCATAGTGGGCCTCTCTCCACAGCCGCTTTGGAAATAGCTACAGGCAGACAAAAGGCAGTCACTACACTGACCCATGGGCAGGAGGTGAATTCTGCGAGTAGGGTGCAGAGGCAAGCAGGAATTCGTGCCCATGAAAGTCTTATAGTCTCTGTCTTGCCCTGTCTGATGCGGTGTCTTCCCCGGGTGGGGAATAGAATTTTTTCATTGTTTTTTGTCTGTGCTTCGTTGGAAGGTAGCTGAATAGCTGTCAGTCTAAATGAGTTTGTCTAAAGGTTAAGCCTTTGGACAGGGTGTGCAGTTCTTCTCAGTTTAATTTCTCTGAATGAATAAAGCCTGTCTGTCCAGCCTCTACAGAGAGAGTTCACTGGGTACAGGTCCAGTCAGTCAGCAGTTCCCTTAAAAAAAAAGAAAAACCACACCAAAACCAACCAAACAAAACCAACAAAAACCACTGAAGTCTATAAAGCACTAAATGTCAACTGTGGTAGGTGGCACAACTTAATGGGATTCTAAACAACAAACTACCTGATGACAGGCTGCTTAATGAGGCCATTGGTACTTCATTTGTCATAAGAACCTTCATAAGAAGCTCAACTGGAGCTTTTTGAACATAAATATGGATCAGTCTTTTCCTCAGAGGGAAGTGATCTGCCTGTCTCATGTGTTTTGATAGTGACCTGAAACTTGCCTGCAAGGTTTTTCAATGCTGTGCTTGGTCCTGCAAGTTAGAGCTCAACCTGAGGCACCGAAGTCTAGAAGGAATTCAGTATGCTTGATGCTTCCTGTTGAGAGAGATGACTGGACCAAGATTGCCAATGCCTCCATGGCCACTGAAATGAAAAAGAGGCCAGTTATTGTCACGATGGCTGCAACTTTGCTGGAGTACCAGGGTGGAGCTGCTGTATCAAGTAGAGGTGTCATTGTGCAGTTTAAAGGTCTTATGACATGTATCTGAATGCAGGGTCTGCATACCCCAGTCCAAGGAGACCCAAAGGCTACAGAGGCTGAAAGGAGTGCCTTTCCTGAGCTCAAATGGTGTTGATTCCTATTCCTAGTGCTGTGCTAGATCCTGATAGTCCATCCTTTGTATGCAGAAGTGAGGCGGTCGGCTGTAGAACCCAGATGAAACAAGTTGACTGACACAGCTCTTGAACTACTCAGCATAAGAGGTGCTTAAGAACAGTATTTTCATAGAAGAAGCTCAGATGCTTTTAATCCCTGACAATTCCTCAGCTGCAATATTCCCAGAGTAATGCAGCAGCATTAAAATGCCTGTGGAATGAGCAAACTGGCATAAACACCTCTTGTTGCTCATGTGAAGACTGCTTTTACAGGCTGGTTCTGCTTCCACAGAAGTGTGAGTCAATGGCCTGTTACAGTTTCAGATGGATGGTGACACATCTGCCTTGAGCAATGGGGAAAGCTGGAACAAGTCAGGCTTGGAAAAAATCAGCTCTGTCTTGATGGTGTCAGTGCAGAAACATGACACCTTTGCAGCTCTGAGGCTGGCTCTTCTCTATTGTGAACTTATCACCCACTATGGAAGAAGCAGGAGCATTTACAGCATTATCCAAAGATCTTGTCAGGGCGAAATTGTTTTTTGGTGGTAGGAGAGAGGGGCTGTGGTTCCCTGAGAAGTAAGGAAACCCTCTCTGCACAACTCCTAGAGTAACCTGAGGGTGCTTTCTGTGTTTTACTCAAGCTTCTTTTGGGACAGACTATGAGATGTGGAATTGGAGAACAGTGCCTGGTCTCCTGAAGGGCTTGGGAAAAATCTTTACTTTAGTGTGAAGCCCTGCGGTAAAACACCCTGAGGAAAAGGAATTGAACTGGAGTACACCACAGCTGTGTGTTTTAGAGATAGATTTTGTTTTGCCTTGTTGGTGGAACAGATGTTTCTGTGGGGCACAAGAAGATTTTGCTGAAGCTATTTAAAATGCTATTCCACAGTTAACTGCCCTGTCCCTTTTCTGGAGCAAACTTCTCCTGTAGTAGAGCTGCTGGAAGATAACTCATGTGTGCCCCGACGCTTTCATGCAAAGTTTGGTATCAGTGTAAACAGCTGATGAAAGTGAGTGCAAAGCCTTGGTGTAAATCCGATTCCTTTAAATCTGAGTCTGCTTTGTGGTGGTTACCTTTGCAGATGAGATAATGACCTCCTAAGCTTCTGGATCTGTCTGCACAGTGACCACAATAGAGATCTGACGATACTGACACTTGGACCTTCTCATCTAGCTTGCTTAGAAAACAGTGCTATAAAAGAATAAGCACATGGGGCATCTCATTTTTGCTGTTCTGTTTGCGGTAGGGGCTGAAAAATTCAGCAGTAAGTGATAGTAGTTAGCTACACACAAGTTTTTTCCTCCCAGCAAGCAGAAGTCATGTCTCCTCTCGCTGCTGCCAGTTGTATCTTGTCTTGGTTCTGTGTAGCTGCATGCATGCCTCCCCCAGCTGTCAGTGCGTCCTGGAAGTCAGTCAGGTTGCGAAATCAGGTACAACAGGTACAGAAGGGCCTTTCAGGTCCTTAACGTGGAGCTGTTGATGTGAAGAGAATGCAAAGTGGGAAGTCTGTCAGTCAGCATTGCTTTGTATTTTGGTGGCAGGCAGTTTGTTCCCTGTGCAGTTTAAAAAGTAGGAGTG